GAATAATTCCAATAGCTTCAGGGCACTTTAGATACTTCTAGTCTCGAAGTTTTGTTTCAGGCAAGCAAAGTGCTATTACTATTTTTACAAATGAGATGGATGAAGCCCACACTTTGAACTTGCTTAAAATTATTAAGTTGATAGAAGCACAGAAGGACTAAACATCTCGCTGTGTTAGCTGTTTATTACCACTAGGGTTTCTCAACCCTGACAACTGATATTTTGAGCTGGATAATTCTTTGTTGTGACTAATTGTTCTGTGCTTTGTAGGTTATTTAGCAGCATCCTCAGCCTCTACCACTAGATGGCAGTAGCACCTCCTTCCCTTTCTAGCATTCAGCCCCAAATGACAGGCTAGATATCCTCTTGGGGCAAGATTGCCCCTTATTGCAAGCCACTGCTTTACACAAGGAATATAACACTTATGCTTCCAGTTAGTTTTCCGTCTACTTTAGTTTTAAAAAGTTCCCTTTGCCATATGGCCATCTGCTTGAAAGCCAGGGTCAGCTCATATTTGCCACTTTGTTAACATTACTTTGTTGCCTGATATTTACATTCACTGCCTTTTTTAAGATGGTAATATGATATCTTAGGTCACATTGAAAATTGCATTCAGACACAAAGCCACTCCTGGTTGTTTTCAATAGCTCACCTGATAAAATTCAATTTATTTCTATAGAACTAAGTATTGCATTTATCAGTTAAATATAGTTTTGATAATAATTTAATCTAAATCTATATTGGCAAATTTAGTGAAATTAAAATGCATTACTAATTAAACACTAGAATATGTAGTTTGAATGGATATTTTGTGTTGTTCTTGTTTATTGTTCTTATTTATAGTTTGGCAAGATTCTATGTTTCAAAGTGATAGATCATAAATATTTGTTTTTAAGGCTTAAATCTGCATTATATAATGTCTTTTCCCCTATTTGTGGATCATAAATATGATTCTTTTGATAGTGATTGATATATTATTTCATAAATATTGCTTATTTAACTTATTTCATCATTTCAAATATTCTATTTAAAAATAAATTTAAATATACCAGAGGCAGATATTTTATAACAAGTCTTATAATTCTCCAAATCTGCCTCCCTTATTTTCCTCCCTTTTTCCCTGCCTCCCTCCCTCCCTTCCTTTCTTCCTTCCGTACTGGTGATTGAACTAGGGCCTTGCACATGCTAGGTGAATGCTCTACCACTGAGCTACATCCCCAAACTCTTATTATTTTATTCTTTATAATGTACTGATTAAGTTTTTCACTCATGTTTTACAGGCACAAGTTGATATGACTTCTGCTAAAGTAGAATTCAAATTCTAATAGGTATTTCAGTACATTTTACTCATAGAATCTGTGTTATTGTTGAATCTACATTTAATAATTAGAAACTATAGTACTTAAGATACCATTTTCTAATTTTTTAAATCATACATTTCATTTATATATTCTGGACATTAAACCCTTTTCAGATATATAATTTGCAAACATTTTCTTCCATCATGTGGGCTGTTTTTTCACTATCTTGGTGTGATGCACAAAAGTTTTATTTATTTATTTATTTATTTATTGTACTGGTGATTGAACTCAGGATTTCATGCATGCTGGGCAAGCTACATTCCCAGACTTTTGAAAAAATTTTACTGAGATGGGTATTGTGAAGTTGCCCAGGTTGGACTCCAACTTTAAATTTTCCTATCTTAGTCTTCTGAGTAGCTAGGATTTACAGTTGTGCACCACTGTGCTGGACTTTAAAGGTTTTAAATTTTGAAGAAGTCCATTTTATCTGTTTTTTTTTTCTTTAGTTGTCCATGCTTTTGAAACCCAGTCTAAATCCATTCCAAAATCCAAGGTCAAGAAGATTTACTCCTGGGCTGGGGATGTGGCTCAAGTGGTAACGTGCTCGCCTGGCATGCGTGTGGCTGGGTTTGATCCTCAGCACCACATACAAATAAAGATGTTGTGTCTGCCAAAAACTAAAAAATAAATATTAAAAAAATTCTCTCTCTCTCTCTCTCTCTCTCTCTCTCTCTGTCCTCTCTCTCCCTTCTCTCTCCCTTCTCTCTCTTTAAAAAAAAAGAAGAAGATTTACTCCTGTATTTTCCTCATATGTGTGGAAAGACTTATGTATGCTATTATATTTAGGTTTTGGATTCATTTTTAGTTAATTTTTGTATATACTGTGGAGTCTGTCTCTAATGTTTTACATGTGGAAATCCCACTGTCCAGCACTCTCTGGAAGAGAGTATTCTTCCCTCATTGAATGGACTTGGTGCCCTTGTAAAACATCATTTGCCTATGGATATATAGGTTTATTTCTGTACCCTAATTCTATTTCATTGGTCTTTGTGTCTATCCTTTTGCCAGTATTGCATTGCTTTGATTACTGTAGCTTTTGAGTAAGTTTTAGAAGTAGAAAGTGAGAATATTTTTGTTCTTTTTAAAAGATCAGGGCTGGGGATGTGGCTCAAGCGGTAACGCGCTCGCCTGGCATGCGCGGGGCGCTGGGTTCCATCCTCAGCACCACATAAAATAAAAAGATGTGTCCACCGAAAACTGAAAAATAAATATTAAAAAAATTCTCTCTCTCTCTCTCTCTCTCTCAAAATAAATAAATAAAAGATCATTTCAGCTCTTCAGGATACCTTGGAATTCTATGTGATTTTGAAGTTTAGTATTTTCATTCCTATGAAAAATGTTGGAATTTTGATAGGAAATGCATTGACTCTGATATAAATGGTCCCTAAGTAGTACTGACATCATAGCAATATTAAGTCTTTTTATCTATGAATATGTGGTCTCTTTCCATTTTTATTCTTTATGTAACTTATCAATGTTTTATAGTTTTTGCTATATGGATCATTCACTTTCTAGGTTAAATATATCCCTGTATATTTTGTTCTTTTAGAAGCTATTGTCAATTTTCTTTTTGGATTTTTATTGCTGGTATATAGATACTAAGTCGAGTTTTTGCATGGATAATATCACCAAAAATATTCTTTGAGATGTGTTTTAGTAAAAGCTATACAAGACCTGTATACTGAAAACTATAGAACATTACCGAGGTTCACTTAAGGAGACTTAAATAAGTGCAGAGACTTTTAGTACTTATTGATCATAAGATGCAGTGTGAAGTTATCTTTTTTCCCCTTAATCTATTGATTTAGTACAATCCTGATTAAATTCCCAGTAAGGTTATTTTTCATAGAAATTGACAAGCTGATTTTAAAATTCATGTGAAAATAAAATGTCACATTAGCTAAAAGTGTTTTGAAAAAGAAAAAAAGTTTTGAGGATTTGTACAACTTGTTTTCAAAATTTATAAGTTGAGACTGTGCTATTAGCAGAAAGAAAGGCATATATGTCAATGCCACAGATTAGTGAGGACAAAAATATACTTATATTTCTAACAACTGATGTTTGACCAAGGTGCCATGAGGAAAAGACAATCTTTGTAACAAATTGTGCTAGATTAATTTAATATTCATCTGCTGAACAGTGAACTAAGCCTTTACATCACACCATATAAATAAGTAAACTTGAAATGAATCATCTACCTAAAAATAAGAGCTAAAACTATGAAAGTTCTCTAAGAAGACACAGTAGGGAAAATTCTAGTGACTTTAGATTAGAAATGGATTCCTTAAACAGGACACAAAAACTTGCAGATTATGTAATTTTAAAATGGCTAATATTTAGGGGGGCTGGGGTTGTGGCTCAGCGGTAGAGAGCTCGCCTAGCACGTGCGAGGCACTGGCTTCGATCCTCAGCACCACATTAAAAAAATAAATAAATAAAATAAAGATAAAAAAAGATATTTTTAAAAACAATGGCTAATTTTGACCTCATTAAAATAAAAAAAAAACTTTGCTCTTCAAAAGAAATTGTTAAGAAAATGAAAAGGCTGTCCAAAGATTGGTAGAAAATATTTGTAATACATATGTGAAAAATATATAAACAACTCTTCTTACAAGTCAATGATGAAACAAACAGCTCAGTAAAAATAGGAATAAAAGATATGAATACTAAGTAAATGAAAAATCTTCAACATTTGTTAATTGTTAGAGAAACGCAAATTATGAAAATGGTTAAAACTGAAAAGACTGACAATGCCTAGTCCTAGGGTAGATGTTGAACAGGCTGACCAACATAAATAGCTGGTTGGAATGGAAAACATTACAGCCTTGCTGGAAAATAGTGTGATGATTTTTTTACAAAGTAAAACATGCATTTACTACGTGATACTATCATTCCATTCTTCTAGGTATTGATCTAGGAGTTATGAAAACATGTATATATGTTGAGTAGCATTATTCATGATAGACAAAAACTGTGAGCAATCCAGATATCCATCAAACTGTAAATCATAAGCAATTGGTGTTATATGTATACAAAGGAATCTTACTCAGCAATAAAAAGGAACAAACTCCTAATACGTAACCAGCATTACTGTATCTCAAAAACCTTATGTTGTTGTTATGCATTTCTGAGGAGCCACACAGCTATAGTGATAGACAGCAGATCATCGTTATGAAAAATTAAGGAGAGAATTTACTGCAAATGTCGGGATGCAACTTTTGGGTCACTGAAATGTTCCATGTTATGATTTTGGTGATAGTTATATGGCTGTATCTCTTTGTTAAAATTCATTGCCTAATTTTGCTCATTGTAATTTATCCCTCAGTAAATATGAATAAAGAAAAATAAGTTTTAAAAAAAATGTCAAACTTTCTTTAAGCCATAGAAAGATTAGATTGAAAAACTGGTTTTATTTTTCTCGGCTTTCATAAGGAAGGGTCTGTATCTTTGGTAGGAAAAGAAGAAGGGCCATCAGAAAGGAGGGATATATTTAGTCTCATTTGTTGGTAGAAGATTAAAAAATCATGTTCAGAAAAGAAGTAATTTTGCTTATTAATAAAAGTAATGTTATATTTAATAAATTGAATTTTGAATTTTTAGCTTGTTACTAATTATTATCATCATTTTAATTCACTTTAGAAATATAAGCCTGGTCGATGCGATGATATTTTGAAATGGAAACCCCCGAGTCTGAATTCTGTAGATTTTCGCTTAAAGATAACAAGAATGGGAGGAGAAGGGTAAGTATTCCCCTTACCAATACTTTCTCCCAATCTGTCATTTTTGCATGAAATAATAATCTAAGGCTTCTTTATTTCTAGGGTATTTTGCAATATGTTTAAAAAGAATGTGAAATATTTTCTATTTCACGTGTACATCTATCTTATTTTTAAAGATAATTCATTCCTTTGACCTACAGTGACTAACATTTTGTAGCAACCTTTAAATTTTGCTTTTAGCCTTAAAAATCCTTTTTAATTTTAAATGGCTACCAGCGATATTAAAAATAAACTTAATCCTACCAATAAATGTAAGGTGATCATAGGGATTATGATAAGATTTATTGAAATAAGTATTTTTTTACTTTGAAAAGATATTACTTCAAATGGTTTACTAGTTCAAATAGTTTACATATAAGTAATTTACATATACTTGCATTGCACAACAAACATTTATTCATACTTTAGTTAGGGTAAAGTTTTCATGTTGACATTAAGTTTTTTTATGATGTTAGGAGTTAATTTTTTCATTTATTAGAATGAAATTAATTTTTTCATTTATTAGAACCTCCTTTGTGGTTGCTGTTTTAGAATAAAAGATGCTTCAGCATGAATATGTTCATTGCATTTTCAAATTGTTTATTTTACTTTGTTCTACAAATTTTTAAGACATTTAAGTAAATACAACAAAATGAAAAATGCTTAATCGTAAGGAGAGATCATAAAAAAGTGAATGATAACAGTAGCAAAGAGATTACAGTTTACCAATGTATGCCATGAAATTCATTTTACCTATCAAATGTAAAACAGGTATGCCTTTTGTAGATAGTGAAAGAAAGGATATACTTTTTAAAATAAGAGATAACAAGTATAAGAGAGGATGTGGAGAACAAGGAACTCCTAACTCCTGGTATTTTGAAATGGAAATGGGCACTATTAGTGGGAGTGTGAATTGCATAGTTACTATGGAAAATGGTATGGAGATCTCCCAAATAAAATAAAATAACCATATCATCCAGCAATCTCATGTCTGAATATATCCATAGGAAACACCATCAATAATTTGGAAAGAGATCCGTACATCCATGTTTATTTCAGCATTATTTATCATAGCTGAAATGTGGAACAAAGGAAAGACAAATAAATAAAAATTTATATTCAGTATTAAAAAGAAAGAAAATCCTATCATTTGCAATAATATGTATGACCCTGGAGGAAAATATGCTAAATGAAATAAACACAGATAGATGGATACTGCATGATCTTATTTGTATGTGGAATCTAAAAAGTCAAACTCGTCGAAGTAGAAAGAAGAATGGTCTTTGACAGGGGCTGGGTATTGTGAAAATCGGGATATGCTGATCAAAGGGCTTAATGTTTCAGTTATGTGGGCTGAATAATTTAAGATCTAATGTATACCATGGTAACTATAGTTAATATTGCTGCACTGTATACTTGAAATTTACTTAGAAGGTATAGCTTAAGTGTTCTTAACACACACACACACATACACACAACTGTGTGAGGTGATAGGTATAATTAGCCTTATTGTGGTCACCATTTCTCGTTTCACAATGTATTGAATATTAAAAAATCACACTGTGCACTATAAATAAAATTTATTTGTCATGTATACCTCAGTAAAGGTGGAAAAAGGTTAAAAAAAAAAGGATATGTTATGTTATAGGAATTGAGACTCCATAAGATTAGTCTCTTAAGAGAGCAAAAATTCTCAAAGAAAGGATACTATGCAAAGTATTGAATTCTAAGTAACGAAAGGGCTTTAACTAGGCATATGGATACTAGTTTTCCAAAAATAGGGTATTTAATATTTTACATCTTTACATCCTAATTGTTCAGAACTTAATTAGCGATTGAGACTTAATGGCCAAAATAAAATAAAATAAAATAAAAAATTGGTAGAGAATAATTTTCTGGGGCCCCTAAATAGGTATTTTGCATTCATGGTCTGATTTTAACATAAGAATAGATAAGTTTCAACTATTGATGGGAATGGGTAGATAACACATTAATACCCACATGTATGAATGATTTTGGGGGCAGTTTCCAAAATAGTTTCTCTGATTTAAATGTTGGGTAAATATTGATTTGTAGTAAACTCAATCTCTTATTACCTGTTTTTGTGCCTCAGGTTCTTCATCATTAAATAGAAATCAGCCTCATAAGAGTTTTCTGAGAATTAAATATGTAAAATATCTAGAATAGAACCTGGCACATGATAAAACATTTCAATGTTTGCTATTATTTTTGTTTTAATTGAAATAGGTTTAAAAGTCCATATTTCTTTCTTGTCACTCCTGCAGTTTTACCTGTTACTGGTGTACCACGTAAGTTCAGCTTCCTATGTGAACGGTTTCCTATTTGATGCCAATCTTTGTTAATTTTTCCCTTTTGAAATGCATGTATTTTTGACTCATGAATTTAAAATGGTTAAAAAGGGACCAGTGTCTCTGAAAAAGACAGTAACAAGTGGTGATGAGAATGTGGAGAAATATTGATATTAAGATTGTAATTGGTACACTTTGGCCTGCAGTTTGGTAGTTCCTCAGAATGCTAGAGACCCAATTAATTCTACTTTCAGGGTATGTATACCCAAGAGAAATGATAATCCATGATTCTTCTTAGCAACATTATTTATAATAGTCAGAAGATGTAAACAACTCATATATCTGCCAACTGACAAATGGATTAATATGTAGACAAAATAGCTCTTCTATCCATCACACTAGTGTAGATCTTCTTAAGCAAAGGGGCTCTGGATTTATACCACCTGCATTTCAATTCCAAACCTGCCACTCTTAATCAAGTTAACGTAGTCTCTCTATTGCTTATGTTTCTAGAACTCTATAATATGGATAATTGTAGAGCCTACCTCCTGTTGGAGTTTAATAAAATAATGCATGTAAAACATTTAAGATTTTTGCATGTTTCACAATGAATATTAAATATGTATTTGTCATTATTAATTTAAAAAAGGTCACTACCTCTTTATATTATCCTTTGGCAGAAAACAGAAGAGCCATATTATCTATGGCTGTGAGATATAATGTTGGTCATGCCAGGCAAAAGCAGATATCTTCTGATAGTACTTCAGATTGGTATAGAAATAAAAGTATTTGTCATTTTGTGGTTGTATATAATCAAAGAGGCTTTGTTTATTTGCTTCATTAAAGATAGCACATCTGGAATAGCAGCTGCAGTTGGTATAACAACCGGATTAAATTTATGATAATTCATAATTATTCTAAGTCTTTGAGGGTGGCACTTACCTCTGTACTTCCCTTGGGGATGTGTTACTGCTTTTGGATTGTTCTTCTGGTGGAGAGGGCAAGTTGTAGGGACTTTCATTTGGCCTTTTCTAGAATAATGACTCTTACTCGATGGGTCAGAGAGCCACAGTGAAAATTCTTTCAGTTGCCAAGTATTTCTTCCCAGTATATCCATCAACAGAAAAATAACCAAGATTGTATTTATGAAGATCCTTGTCCACTTAGATTTGTTCTTGGAATTTATTTAAACTACTTTTAACTGATACATAAGAACAAAAATTATACTTATTTATGGGTGCCATGTGATGTTATGGTATGGCTTTACAATGTGTAATGTTTAAATCAGGTCAAACTTCTATCTCTTCAAACATTTATTATTTCTCTATAGTGAAACCATTCAGTTTTCACTTTTGCTTTTTGAAAAAAACAAAGACAAAAAACATAGCACACCAGAATTTTTTCCTTCCATATAATTGTAATTTATTTCTCTTTGATCAATCTCTTTGTTCTTTCTTCATCTCCACTCTCCCAGCTTCTGGTAATGAGTCTTCTCTTCTCAACTTGTATGAGATAACTTTTATTCTGTGTATGAGTGAGATCTCATAATACTTGTCTTTTTGTGCCTGGCTTTTTTCACTTAACATAATGATTCCAGTTCTATCCATGTTTTTTGCAAATGACAGAATTTTATTTTTTCAGCCAGAAACACAATTATCACCCACATAGTGTAGTTCTCTATTTAATTGATGGATCATGAGGGCATTGTGTGTTTCTGACTACTTGTTTAAAGTGAGTGTCCTGTAATTTTTCAAGTGGTCTGGGCATTTTTTTTTTTCCAGTGCACAGTCACCCTAGCAAATTCTGACAATCCTTTGGAAGATAGTTGGAAGATTTATAGTTAAGTGTTAGCATTTTTTTTTTCTGTAAAAAGCCAAATAGTAAATATTTTAGGGTTTGTGGTTCATTACAGTCTCTGTCTCAGCCACTCCATTTTGCCATTGTAATGCAAAATTGAACATAGGCAGTATGTGGATGAATGAACCTGCCTATGTTACAATGAAGCTTTATTTACAATAGCTGATTTCACACCTGGGGAACTATAGTTTGCCAACTGTAGTTTATAGTATACACTTGTGATAGTGTTGTAGGGCATTTCTCTGCAAGGGGATCTGGACCCCTTCTATCAAAGGGGCTTAGGTTTGTTGGCCAGTTAAGGTCTGTGCATTTGAAGATGAGAAGTGCTAGCTTCATAGAAGCTCAGTGGAATGTGTAGAATGGATTAACTGGCTCTGCTTTACTTGCTATTGAAAAAGTCCTGTTAATCTGCTGACTAGAATTTTTTTCGTCTTGCTTATATTTATTTAAAAAATTGTGATTAATTCTGCTTTTCAGATTTATTTGAACTAGTATTATTTTAAAGAAAGAAATTATAATGGTAAATATATTGAGAATGTTCAAAAATATTCTTTTATAAAAAGGATTAAGTCAGCAAGAATATAGTTAGTAAACTGTGGGGTGAAAAGCTTTTATTACTTTGCTCAGAAAGTTCTTCCCCCTTCCATTTTGAAATGGGATCTTGATCGGTTTATTTCTATTTCACTTAAAAAATATTTGAAGAATTGAAGTTAGAGATAAAAACTCAATATAATCAGTATTAGTATGTAATATACTTAGTGACTTACGCTGTTTGACATATAGCATATGTACATTTCTATGAATAATAATGGGTAA